CAAAGCAGCCTGTTGCTGTGTGTGCAGAGTATGTAGAGGATCGTCATAAACATCCTCAAAGAGGCCTTTGCAGTGCAGGAGGGTGTTTCTCCAAGTCAAAAGGCCACAGCTCGAACTTCAGTATCTGAGCTAGATTTTTATCACCTAGGAGCCACTTCACTCCTTTTGCTTTCCTGTTGCTTTCTTTAATGGAAAAAACCCAAATACTCATACAAAAATAGCAGAAAAGATCAGTTGAATTCAGTTAAGTTGTGCACCCTTTCTCTGTTAACTTCCAGTTTTTCAATTTAGAGTAAAAAGACGAGCAGAATTCCTAAGAAGTAATCAAAGTCCACGCAGTCTCTAGTTCGTCGAAGACAATTAAAAAAGAGTTAGTGGCCACCTCAGCTTTTCCAAACATGACTTGTAAAATACACTTTTGATATCTTATTTTCTCTCATGAGAAATAGCTTTCAGATCTGATAAACTAAGAATTATTGGTGCATTTCTAGTTTTAAAAGGTTGTGAGAAATTTATTTCCATATATGTTGCCATTTCAGATGACTTCAAGATCCACACACTTGGCCTCGCCCTTACCTCACAACTACAGTTTCATATATCCACATGCTCACTAGGCAGTTCTTGGAAATTTTGTCATCACCTCAAACTCAACCCTTCCAAAATTCGACTTACCTTCTCTTCAAGCCGGACCCCATTAGTTTACAGGGACTCATTTTTTTTTTTTTAATGTATTTATTCAGTTGTGCCAGAGCTTTAGTTGCAGCATGCAGGCTCTTAGTTGGAGCACGTGGGATCTAGTTCCCTAATCAGGAATTGAACCGGAGCCCCCTTCATCAGGAGTGCAGAATGTTAACCACAGGACCACAAGGAAAGTCCCTGCTGTGACCCATTTCTATCAGCAGAACCATCTACTTCCCCAGTTCTAGAACCTAGACAGCCTCTTTAATCATTCTTCTCTCTAGTCACCAAAGCTCAGAAATGACTTTTGTAATATATCTTGCATAAATTGATCTCTTTCTTTGCATTTTCATGTTTGTTACCGTAGTCGCAGAAGTAACAGCACCTCCCTTCTACCTTGTCCCAGCCAGCCCACCTTCCTGATGAGATTTATCATCCTCAAGCACTGGAACGAGTAGCCTATCCCTTCTCCCGTGGATCTGCCCGACCCAGGAATCGGACCGGGGTCTCCTGCATTGCAGGTGGATTCTTTACCAGCTGAACTACCAGGGAAGCCCACTCCTCAAGCACAGCTTTACTGATTTCATTTGCCTCCAAAACCTTTATGTGCCCTCATCTGCCCCCCTGTCATGAACCTGGCATGGGACACAGGGCTGTATCAGACCTGTATCTCCTGGTGTGTCACTCACTGCTCCCCAGGAAGCACCAAGAATAGCGCCCAGAGCAGGCCCATCTCTCCTCACCCTGTGCAGCCCTCACCAGAAGCCTCTGTATCCTGCCTCCAACAGTGAATGTAGATGTGCTCGTGAATGCACTTCAAGTGCCCACCAGTGCCCAGCTCCTTGGTGATGCTCAGTAGCTAAAAATGGTCCAGTGATTATTTCCTGGGATAACTCTGTCCACATGGTAGTTGTTTAATTAGTATTGGACAAATAAAGGAATCACTTTATCAAAATGATTCCTTTCTCTGAAAACCTGTATATATGAGCGCTCTCAACGTAATTTGAAGAGACTGCGCAGAGGAAGGCAGAAAATGTTTAAATGTTTCTTAAACATACAGATAAGACTTCCCTGTCCAGTGGTTAAGAATCTGCCTGCCAATGCAGGGGACACCAGTTCAGTCTTGGTTTGGGAAGATTCCACATGCCACAGGGCAGCTTGAGCCTGTGAACCTCAACTACTGAAGCCTGCAATACCTGCCATGCTTGAGTCTGGGCTTGGCAACAAGAGCAGCCACCACAGGGAGAAACCTGCACGCCACACGAGGAAGCCCTCTCTTGCCACAGCTAGAGAAAGCCCAAACAGCGATGCAGACCCAGGGCAGCCAAAAATAAATAAAAATTCAGTTAATTTTTAAAAACATACAAATAATCAGCAAATGTGGTTTATTTTTATGATTTTCTCTGTGTTTTTACAGTTATAACATCATTTTCATTAAGAACAGCTTAGTAAATGCAGAAAACCAAAACCAAAAAAATCATGATCCTCTCCCACCCAACAAAGCAACTACTAACGTTGTTGTTCCGTTGCCAAGTCATGTCTAATTCTTCTCGACCCCATGGACTGCAGCACGCCAGGCTTCCCTGTCCCTCACCATCTCGTGGAGTTTGCCCAAGTTCATGTCCATTAAATCAATGATGCCATCCAACCATCTCATCCTCTGTCACCCCCTTCTCTGCTTGCCCTCAGTCTTTCCCAGCATCAGGGTCTTTTCCAATGAGTCGGCTGTTTGCACCAGGTGTTGCCAGAGTATTGGAGCTTCAGCTTCAGCATCAGTTCTTCCAAAGGGTATTCACAGTTGATTTCCTTTAGGATTGACTGGTTTGATTTCCTTGCAGTCCAAGGGACTCTCAAAAGTCTTCAACACCACAATTCAAAAGCATCAATTCTTCAGCTCTTTGCCTTCTTTATGGTCCAACCCTCACATCCATTTATGACTACTGGAAAGACCATAGCCTGCTGACATTAGGTTGGTGCAAGCGTAATTGTGGTTTAATTAAAGTTGTGAATTTTAAATCATTATAACTAGGCTCAAACATATCATTATTAATCAAACTAGGAACCGTTACAATCAACACCACTTTTGCCAATGAGCAATAAGTATGTTTATTCCTGTAGCATAAACATCTGTGCTTCAGGATTTGACAAACTCTTTGAAAGCATTTTTTGCCTCCTGCTGGTTTGTGGAAGATTTTCCCTGCAAAAAGTTGAGATGCTTGAAGAAGTGGTAATCAGTTGACAAAAGCTCAGGTGAATATGGTCAATGAGACAAACGTTCGTAGCGCAATTTGTTCAACTTTTGAAGCATTGGTTGCTGGGTGTTGTCATGGAGAAGAACTGGGCCCTTTCTGTTGACCAATGCTGACTGTAGGCATTGCAGTTTTCAGTGCATCTCATTGATTTGCTGAGCATACTTCTCAGGTGTAATTGTTTCTTAGGGATTCAGAAAGCTATAGTGGATCAGATGGGCAGCAGACCACCAAAGAGTGGCCATGATTTGTATTCTCGTGTTCATAGGTTTTCTTGTTTAAAACAGTGTGATCATGCTTAATTTAAAATTTGTGCCCTGTAAAAAGTGATACAGTTCCCTGAAAATCAGAGAAACTGTTACCATTTATGGTCTACTTACCGTATGCCAGGCACTTTAATTGCATTCTCTTATCTAAAAGTCTCAAAACTTCCCAATGAGGTAAATACTATTGTTGTTTATTGTTGTTGTTTAGTTGCTAAGTCGTATCCAACTCTGTGACCCCATGCATTTTAGCCCATCAGGCTCCTCTGTCCGTGGAATTTCCCAGGCAAGAATCCTGGATTTAGTTGCCATTTCCTTCTCTAGGGGATCCTCCTGACTCAAGGATCAAACCTACGTCTCCTGCATTGCAGACAGTCCTTTACCACTGAGCCACCAGGGAAGCCCCTATTACCACCCCTATTAATAGCTGAGAGACCTGAGACTCAAATCCAGAGGGCAGAGCTGGGACTTGTGTTCTCAGCCACTGTGCCTGCAAAGAGTCCTTCTCTGCGAGACCAGTGTGGGTGATCGACAGCAATTTACTTTCTTTCCTGTAATAATAGTGAGATTGAGAAACATCCCCACCAGTGTCTGGTGCATGCTAATTCCAGTAGCAATATGAATAATAATTTCTTTAGCCCCTAAACAGGGGCTAAACACCATCCACCACCCTAGTTCACCATCTCTAACCCTCACAAGGGCTTCCCAGGTGGGGCTAGTGGGAAAGAACCCACCTGCCAATGCAGGAGACATAAGAGACATGGATTCAATCCTTGAAGTTGAAAAGATCCCCTGGAGAAGGAAATGGCAACCCACTCCAGTATTCCTGCCTGGAGAATCCCATGGACAGAGGAGCCTGGTGGGCTACAGTCCATGGGGTTGCAAAGAGTAGGATAAGACTGAAGCAGCTTATCACAGCACAACCCTCATAAGACACTGTGAAGCTGAGGAAATAAGGCTGGGAGAGCCCAGGTGACTTAGTCCCAGAGATGGAGAGTTGAACTTCTAACTCCATGCCCTCATCATACTGCCTCTCAATAAAAATCCCTTAAGACCCAGATAAGAATGAGAAGAGAATGGTCCTTTGCCATTAGCTTATTAGTAACATTAGCATGTTTCTGTGGCACCAAACTAGCGGGATCCAGAAGGCAGGATGTGCATGTTTGGGTTGATTTGGGGAGAAAGAAGGGATATTTAGCCCCTGGTCAGTAGGCCTGGCATGGGGCATCTCAGAACCAGGCCTCTCTTCCAGGTACTGTCCCTATGGGAGCCTCTGAAGTCAGATGTTAAATAATTACCTCAGGGGAAGGCAGATTTGTTTGGATAAAATCTGTTGTTTATACGAAGTGCGTCTGTTATTGCCAACTCTAGACATTTTAGTGGGCCAAGAATCTGGTTTATTTAAACTTATGTACATTGAAAGGACATCACAGATTTCATTGAGAAAACTGAGGCCAGAGAAATTAAATCTTCCAAGGAAGTTGGAATCTAGAATTCTCCAGCCTCCCCCAACCCGAGCCCACTGAACTTTCCTCTGCACTCTTTTGCTTTACTTAATTTTTGAAAGTGTGACAGTAGGTCGAAAAATTTAGTGATGTTTATGTGGTTTATGGAATGTAAATTTTTAGAAACCAAGTTTGTCACATTTAAAAATCAGAGCTTTAATAGAACATCTGTTATCTCAAACACCTGCTAAATTATTTGTCCTATTTCTGTTGTCTCTCTTTTTCCCCTAGATTTAATGAGGTCTTGCATCGGTCTGCTGAGTCTGTGATTTTCTGTGTCTATGGATTCTAGAATTTGCTAAGAGATGGAGGAGTCTCCGCAGAATGATCTGGATGCAGCAAGCCTTGAGAAAAATGACCTGCTCCAGAGCGCCAGCCCTCAGATTTCCATTAATGAATTCTCCTGCCACTGCTGTTACGACATCCTGGTTAACCCCACCACCTTGAACTGTGGGCACAGCTTCTGCCGGCACTGCCTAGCTCTGTGGTGGGCCTCTTCAAAGAAAACAGAGTGTCCAGAATGCAGAGAAAGATGGGAAGGTTTCCCCAAAGTCAATATTCTCCTCAGGTAATGCTCAAGTCCACATGGGTAGCTCACTGGGCGTGTACAGCGTGGTTTCTCTTAACGGGAGCAGCCGCGTCTCTAAAAGCCAGAGACGTGAAGCCCACTGCCTCGGGGGTCACTCTGGATCCCCTGGCATGTGAGTCAAGGGGTTCAAGGGACTGCAAGTCCCGACTCCCTTCCTCACAGGTGACCGTGATGTGTCTGTTATTTATCATAAATGAGGGCAAGAAAGAAACTGGTTATCAGACCATTTTCTGTAACCCTTGGTACGTAATACTTCAGACTGATTTGTGTTCACTGAGAACACCCTAGGTCTAACAGAGAAAATGGTCTAACTGTATGATTCTGAATAATTAGTGTGATGCTGATTTTCCTAATCTCTGGTTAAACTCTGTTCATTTATCACATTCATAGAGTTTCCCATGCGTGGCATCACATAGCAGATAAGATCTTCATATGGTGGGGTTTTTCCTTCTTTTTATTTTTTTCCTTCTGTTCATAATGTTCATCCTGTTCCTGGGAGGTCTATGAGGCTAAAATCCTTTCTGTTGCCTTCTCTCTATCAAAAGAGTACCAGGAAGTTCCATAAAAACATTAACCCAGCATTCTCTTTACTTTTATACATTTATGTGCCAATAGGAAATGCAAATGTTTTCTTACGTCAGTTGTGTACGGTCTGTGTGTCCTCAGTTTCCTATTTCATTCAAACAGTATGTTTGAATTAAATTTATTCATCTTGATACCCAGTGATATCCAGTAAACTTACTTTTAAAACGATGTATTGTTCCTCTGTAGGAATATGCTATGTTTTGTTTAGCTGCTTCCCTAACGGTGGACATGTAGATGTTTTTGATTTGTTGTTGTTACCAATAGGGCCATAACCAACCTTCTTGTCCATTCTTTCTGAATTCTGGCATATGTATTTTTAAAATATCTGTTTATTTTTGGCTGTGTCGGGTCTTCATTGGGACCTGCAGGCCGAGTAGTTGTGATGCATGGGCTTAGTGGCCACATAGCTTTATGGGATCTTAGTTCTCCGTCTCGAACTCACATCCCCTGCATTGGAAGGTTTATTCTTAATCACTGGACAAGCAGGGAAATCCTTGGTATATTACTAAATGTTGACATCAGTGTTATTTTGTCCTCTAAACATTTTAAATGTATTTAGTTAAACAACTGTCTTTTTTTTTTCTGTCTCTTCTTGATAGGGACGCTGTTGAAAAATTATTTCCTGATGCCATTAGAATGCGATTTGAAGACATTCAGCAGAACAGCGACATAGTCCAGAGCCTTGCAGCCTTTCAGAAGTTTGGGAATGATCAGACGCCATCCGCTCCCCACCCACGCCGGGGGAACCAGAACAGGGGAGGGGGCTTCTACTCCGGAGTGCTCACAGCTCTGACTGGGGTGGCAGTAAGTGCCTGTCCCGTGCCCCTCCCTCCCGCTGTTCCCACTGAAGTCAGTTCTGTTGAAATACTCCCAAGTGATCGCACATGGCAATTCACTGTGTAAGTTGAAACCTGGGATGTTGCCTATACAGGTATCTACAGAGTCTGGTATTCAGAGCCCAGTAACGGTTAATTTTGTCCCATTTCATCTTCACAGCCTATGCAATAGACACTGTCATTATTCCTGCTCTAGAGGGGAGGAAACAGGTGCAGAAAGGTGTTAGGGCTGGAACCGAGGCCATATCTTGAGCACAGCACTTTACTAACTTCAAACCTTAAAGACTCTTTTTAAGTTCCATCCATGCTACGAAAATCTTACGGTTAACAAATTTTCCAATAGCAAAGGCACGTGGGTCAGTCACATTGGCCAAATTGATGGGGTCGAGGGTGCAGTGCTCCCAGGTGCCTTGCAGTGAGTCCCATTTCTGTCTCTGTTCCCCGACAACAACCCAAAAATCAGCAGAGGTGAGCCCACCGAGGGTCGTGCTCCCCAGCTCCCTGTGGCAGTGGTGTGGCCTGGCTTCCACGTCGACAGGCTTGGCATCCTTACCTCCCAGCCCAGCGTCTTCCCTCCCCAGCCCCACACGTGTGTGCTTGGAAGGTGACGTCTCTGATCTTCTGTGTAGTAAGGTCCGTGTCGCTTTTCCCCAGGTGGTCCTGTTGGTGTACCACTGGAGCAGCAGGGAATCGGAGCGGCACCTCCTGGTCCACAAGGCTGTGGCCAGATGGACAGCAGAAGAGGTTGTGCTCTGGTTGGAGCAACTTGGCCCGTGGGCCTCTCTCTACAGAGACAGGTTTTTATCTGAAAGAGTAAACGGAAGGTGAGGAGCAAAATCTGCTGCTGCGTCACTGACATTTCTGAAACAGTGTTTTTGAGATACTGTCCACATACCCTGAAACTCACCCATTTGAAGTGTATAACCCATGGTTTTTAATATATTTGCAGATACGTGCAGCCATGGCCACAGTCTGGCTTTAGAACATTCTCATCACCCCCCAAAAGAAAGTTCCTGCTAAAGGCAGTCAGTCCTCATTTTCCCCTCTCTCAGCCCCTGGCACGCACCATTCTACTTTCTGTCTCCTGGATTTGCCTGTTCAGAGTATTTCCGTTCTTCATTCATTCGTTCTTCAGTTGATGGACATTTGGATTGATTCCATTTGGGGGCTTTTAGGAACACTGCTGCTGTGATCACTTGTGTAAAGGTTTTTGTGTGGACTTGTATTTTCTTTTCTTTTTTTTTTCCATTTATTTTTATTAGTTGGAGGCTAATTACTTTACTGGACTTGTATTTTCAATACTCAATACTCTTGAAGCGGAATTGCTGGGTCATAAGGTAACTCTCTGTTTACCTTTTAGGGAACCATTAAACTTTTCTAAAGCAGCCATACCATTTTATGTCATTGGTTGACATCTTAATTGTTTGTTGCTTCTTGATTATAAGGGTAACATGTTTATTTCAAAATAATAATGTGGAACTATAAGACATTAGAAATGAAATAACTTCATCATCCTGCTCTTGAGGAAAAAACCACTTGCTGGACAGCTGTCCAGATTTTTTTCAATGTTTATACAGGTCTACACATAGAACTGTGGGTTATTTATTTATTTAAATGAAAAATATGATTGTTCTAAGCAGACCTGTGTTTATATGTATATATATATACACATATGTATGTGTGTGTGTGTGTTTATATGTATGTGTATATGCTAGAGTCTATTAATTGACCTCTACGAACACACATTTGTGGTGTTTCCTTCTTTTTTCTGCTTTGGACAGTACCAAACTGCCTTGGTCCAAATGGGGGAACCCATTAGTTTGAGGAACTCACTCATCGCTGAGCAATGGGGCAGGCTGCTTCTGCCCATCAGCAGAGCTCCCTGCCCCTTCCTGAGCCCTGTCCATCTTTACTGGGTCCCTCCCTTCCTTGGAGGGATCACACAGGGATGTACTTAGACCACCAGGCCGCTGCTCTCTAACCCATTTGAATCAGACATGTGGTCCTCACTGCTCGGCTGTCTTCCTGGTGTCCCCAGGTAACCTGCCTGGTACCCCACCTCCCACCTTACCCCGCTCCCTCCTGGAATTATGGTTGAAAGAGTCTCTGCCTTGTTAATACAATGTACTTTGCATAACTGTCTTCCTTCCAGAGGAGAGCTTCCTAAAACTGGCATTGCTGAGTGAAGGAGAATAAACCTTTATGGGGTACTTTAATGAGGAATCACTGGTGGTAAATTCATATTTTCTGATGAAAGGGGACAGATAATGTATCTGCTGTTATCTTTATTTAATCACTACCCCCAAACAGCTACTCTTATTATTATGATATTTCATTGGATTTCCTTCTAGCTTTTTTTCTCTATACACACACACACTTTGAAAAATAGTAAGGTCGGAGTGCATAGCTGAAAGATCAAGGGTGGGAACAAAATGGTCCTCCTGAGTGTGCCTTGGGTGAATCATTTTATTTGTCTAAGCCAGTTTTCTCACCCACAAAATGGACATGATAACACCTACCTCGCAGACTTGGTAGATGGGTCAGTGATGATATAGCAGTGTTTTCAGAGAGTCCCTGGCAAATAGTAAGCTTTCACTTGTTTGCTGTTAGTCATATTACTTCTTATGTTAGGTGCCTTCCCTCAAGCCCAAAGTGCGTATTTGTGTTGATGAGGTGGCGTTCTGACTGGAGAGTTTGCTTCCACCCCGCCCCCCAGGTTGCTTTTAACTCTGACAGAGGAGGAATTTTCTAAAGCACCGTATACCATAGAAAGCAGCAGCCACCGAAGAGCCATCCTCACGGAGCTGGAGCGAGCGAAAGCGCTGGGCGCGAAGCCCCCCCAGAACCTCTGGGAGTACAAGGTGAGCACTCTTACTTCTTCAGTGGGAAAAAGTATTGAGAAGGTAGCAGTTATCTGTCTGCCTACTGCTCACAGACATGGCAGACACGACTGAAGCCCCTGTGTCAGGCTGTGGGTCCTTCCTGGGCCTGTTCTACTTGTGTTACGGCTGTATTTCCACAGCACTAGGAACAACGTCCTAGATTTTGAACCTTAACCTAAGAGGCATGAAGTGAGCGGATCCTTGTGCAAGTAGCTTTTCTCTCTGGCCCCCACCCCGTTCACCATCTGTCCACTCTCCCATTGATGGCCAGTCTTCTCAGTGCTATACACTGGGCAGTGGGATTACCGGGTCACCAGTAATGCAGGTCATCAGCTTTACTCCATTCTGATAAATTCTTCTTCGCTGAGTACCTGGTTCTCTTTTACAGGGAGAATGTAGTGAGTACCATACTGTAAGATGAATGCTCTATTTTTTATTAGTCATAGAGTATCTGAAATACACAGACCTGTACCCTAAAAAAGACATCATGGAGAAAACTAAATACAAATAACCAATTAAGTCAATGGGGGGGTGTTGGGGGTAATGTTCACTGATAATTCTAGTACAAATTGAGACAGTCCCCTGTGTTGTTCTCAACTCTGACATTGTCAAGGATGAGAACATTTCATAATAACACGAGCAAAGAGGCACTCATGTTTGCCGATCCTAAATTGGCGCCGTCTCTTTGGAGAGCAGCTTGTCACTAACTATTCACATTTAAGCGGCACTTACTGTTTGATCTTCATTTCACTTCTTGGCATTGAGCGCACAGGCAGCATAGTGCTCTGATCAGGGAAGGACCAGGGAGCCTGACTCCTGGGCCCCTCGCCATTGGTTCTTGAGGGGTGAAATGTGGTATGTGTTGCAGGGACTTGTGGCTCCTGCAGGACAGACTGGGAATGCCAGCACGCCCCTGGCCTCCTGGTCCCTTTTCCTTCCCAGCCAGTGACCTCAGAATCAATGAGAACTATACGTTTGAGTCACATTTAAACCATTAAACAAGATGTTGATCCCAGTATCATTGGCAGTAGCACGTGGAAAACAACGTCAGTGCTCATTGTTAGGAACAAGTTGAGTAAATACAGCTCAGCCACACTTGCAGCCATTACAAAGGAGGAGGTGACCTGGGGGGTGCTTACCAGAAAGGACGCCCAAGTGGTATTGTTAACTGAAAACAAAAAGCGCATTAGAAAACATACATGTTTGTGTGGATCATAGAAAATCTCTGGAAGGATACACAGACTGCTACCAATGTTTCCATCTAGGGATTGCAACATGGACGAAAGGCTGAATTGTATTTTGTCATTCAATTCAATTCTGTGCCATTTGAAAAAGAAGATTGTGTTTATTATGTGCATGTATTACTTTATTTTTTTTTCAAACTTTAAACTTTTTATTTTGTATTGGGGCATAGCCCATGAACAATGTTGCTGGTAGTCTCAGGTGAACACCAAAGGGACTCAGCCATACACAACACATGTATCCATCCTCCCCCAAACCCCCCTGCCATCTAGGCTGGCACATAGCATTGAGCAGAGTTCTATGTGCCATACAGTAGGTCCTTGTTGGTTATCCATTTTGAATATAGCAGTGTGTGCCTATATGACTTTAAAACTGAAAAACAGTTTCAGATTTTTTGAAGAATGGGGATAGGGGTCCTAAGATAGAAGATTTATTGTTTTACTTTTTTTTTTTTTACTGTTGTTTGTTTGTCAATTTTTTTTTAAATCCCTACTTCTCTTTTGTCATAAATTATTAGTTTTGTTAATGCAGTCAAACTCTGGACTTTTTGTAGCCAATATTAGTCCTGTGGTGGATTTTAATATCTGACAGAACCTTTCTGGGTCCTATGACCCTCTATTTAGAGTCTGTCAAAGTAAACTTAATATTAACTGGAGTGAATGGGATTGGGATTCTGGTCCTGGTATAAAAGGCAAGCAGATCTTGTTCCTTCAGATCTCCTTGAGGGTGGTCATTTGATGTTGTGTGTATAGGCTTCCCAGTGGTGCTAGAAGAACCTGCCTGCCAATGCATGAGATGTAGGAGACACAGGTTCCATCCCTGGGTTGGAAAGATCCCCTGGAGGAGGACATGGCAACCCGCTCCCTTATTCTTGCCTAGAAAGTCCCATGGACAGTGGAACCTGGCAGGCCACAGTCCATGGGGTCTTAGAGTCAGACGCGACTGAAGTGACTTAGCACGCACTGCTGGCTGTGTGACAGGACTCCCCTGACGCTGGAGTCCGAGTAGCTGCTCCTGAGTGCCGCTGTTCCAGGCAGACTTGAGAGACGGCTCACTCCCCTCTGTAGCCCTGCCGTCACGGTCCCCTCCCTGGGAGGTTGGTTCATCCTCCTCCTCTGACAGAGAGGAGCCCAGAGTTGGGATATTTTGGTCCAGCTGACCCCAGACCTAAAAACACTAACCCGGTCATCATCCCTTCTTTCGTCCTTCCCACGATGTGGCTGCGCACCACCAGGCTGTTTCTGGGACCTGTGTTCTTTTGGAGACCACACACTCAAAGGAGCGGTTTTGCCCCCAAGGCCGTTGGTTCTGGAGGGGTGAAAAGCGGTAATACTGCAGTGACTTGTGGCTCCAGAGACCACAGTACATAAACAAATACACAGTATTTCTTTGCTATTAACATTTTATGGGGCGGGGGTAGGTTTATGAAAAAGTCTTTAAAAGGCTCCTTAAGAGGTAATAATGCAAAAAAGGTTGGGAAAAGCTGCTTTAATGTGAAGAACTACTTCCATATTTCTGTGTCTCACCTAAGTTACAAGATATTTTTCAGAAGTTAGACTTTTTTTTAACTTTGGAAAATTTTAAATACACACAAAAGCAAGATAATAGTACAAAACTACCATCCACCCATAAGACAGTAACTTGTGGCTATGTTGATTTCACAGTAATACCTATTCCTACTACTCCTGATTATCTTGGAAATATGAGAGAGTTATATTTCAGAAGTAAATATTTAATTGAATCTCTAAAAAGTAACGACTTTAGAAAACAAAACTAAAATATCACAGTGTACACCCCAGAATGAATAATTCTCTGATGCTATCAAACAATCTAACAGTATACAAATATCCCACATTTTTTTTCCCAGTTGACTTGTTCCAGCCAGGGTCCAAATAGGGTCCACAATTGGTGGTTTTATCTTTTTTTTTTTAATTGAGGAAAAGTGATTTACAATATTATGTTAGTTTCAGGTGTACAATGTAGTGATTCAGTATTTTGGTAGATTATATCCCACTTAAAGTTATTAAAATATCAGCTATATTGCCTGTGCTATACAATATGTTCTTGGGCCGACTTATTTTATATGTAGTACTTTGTACCTCTTAATCTCCTACCCCTATCTTGCCCTTCCCTGCTTCCTTGTCCCCATTGGTAACCACTAATTGTTTCTCTAAACCTGTGAGTTGATTTCTGTTTTCTTATAGTCATTTGTTTGTTTTATTTTTTAGATTCCATATATAAGTCAAAAAATATGTATTTGTTTCCTGCATCTGACTTATTTCACTAAGCGTAATACCCCCAGGTCCATCCAAGTTGTTGCAAATGGCAAAATTTCATTCTTACAGAAGAGTAGTATTCCATTCCATATGTATTATATCATTATCATCATCTTTACCCATTCATCTGTTGATGGATCCTTAGACTATTCCCGTAGGTTAGCAACCATAAGTAATGCTGTTATGAGCACTGGGTGTCTGTTTCTTTCTGAATTAATGTTTTTTTTTCTTCAGATATATTTCAAAGAGTGCAATTGCTAGATCATATGGAAGGACTATTTTTAGTTTTTTGAGGAACCTCCATACTGTTTTCCACAGTGGTTGCAGCAATATTAAATTCCCACCAACAATGTACAAGGGTTCCCTTGTCTCCACACCCTCCCCAACATTTGTTATCGGTGGTCTTTTTGATGATGGTTTTTCTGACAGGTTGTGATATCTCATTGTGATTTTGATCTCCATTTCTCTGATAATTAGCGATGTTGATGTTGATGTGCCTTTTCATGTGTTGGCCATCTCTATGTCTCCTTTGGAAAAATGTCTATTCAGGTCTTCTGGATTTTTTATTTATTTTTAATTGGAGGATAATTGCTTTACAATATTGTGTTAGTTTCCCCCATACATCAACAGGAATCAGCTATAGGTGTACAAATGCCTCCTCCCTCTTGAACCTCCCTCCCGTCTCCCACCCCAGCCCTCCCTGTAGGTTATCACAGAGCCCCCGGTTTGAGCTCCCTGCATCACACAGCCAATTCCCACTGGATGTCTGTTTTACCCATGGTAATGTGTATGTTTCAGCGTTACGCTTCCAATTTGTCCCTCTCTCCTTCCCCCGCTGTGTCCTCAAGTCTGTTCTCTGTGTCTGCATCCCCGTTGCTGCCCTGCAAATAGGCTCATCAGTACCATCTTTCTAGGTTTAATATATGTGAGTTAATGTATAATACTTGTTTCTCTCTTTCTGACTTACTTCACTGTATATAATAGGCTCTGGGTGTCTGTATTTTTTTTAATTACTGTTGCATGATGGCTGAGTAATATTGTACACATGTACCACAACTTCTTTATCCATTCATCCGGCAATAGACATTTAGGTCGCTGCCATGTCCTGGCTATCGTCAATAGTGCTGCAGTGAACATTGGGGTATATGTGTCTCTCTCAGTTGTGGTTTCCTCAGGGTGTATGCCCAGTAGTGGGATTGTTGGGTCGTATAGTAGTTTTATTCCTAGTTTGTAAGGACTGTCCATACTGTCTTCCCCAGTGGCTGTATCAATTTACATTCCCACCAAAGTGCAAGAGGGTTTCCTTTTCCCCACACCCTATCTACCATTTATTGTTTGTAGATTTTCTGATGATGGCCATTCTGACATGTGAGGTGATAGTTTTAATTTGCTTTTCTCTAATAATGAGCAATGCTGAGCACTTTTTCATGTGTATATTAGCCATCTGTATGTCTTCTTCGGAGAAATGTCTGTTTAGGTCTTCTTCCAACTTTTTGACTGGGTTGTTTGGTTTTCTGGTATTGAACTGCATATAGGGTTGTTTGTTGGTTGTCATGTCAGAAACACAAGAGACATGGGTTCGATCCCTGGGTGGGAAGATCCCCTGGAGAAGGAAATGGCCAACCCACTCCAGTGTTCTTGCCTGGAAAGTTCCATGGACACAGGAGCCTGGCGGGCTACAGTCCATGGGGTTGCAAAGAGTCAGACATGACTGAGCGCACGTGCACGCACGCGCGCGCACACACACACCTCTCTTATCTCTCTTTCAGTCTGTAGATTCTGCCTCGCTCTTTTCATTGCTCTGCACTTACTTGTTGTAGAAACCAGATCACTTTCTCCTGTGGTTTCTGACATCTTGAACTTTGGCACTTGTCTCTCTGGTGTCACCTAACAGGTCCTTTTGTCCCCTGCATATCTTATAATCTAGTAGTCTAGAGGCTAACTTTGGTTTAGATTGGGGTTGGCAAGACTGCTTCATAGGTGTGGTATTTTATTCCATCAGGAGGCTCATAACATCCCATGATCATTGATTGTTAAGAGTTCATTAAGTGTTGCCAAATGGTGATATCATAACTCCCACAGATTTCACTTTTTCCCTGTTATATACAATGCAACACAAAATATTTTGTGTGTGAGACCTGTATTTCAGATTGTTTTTATTAAGTGGTACCCACTAATTGGGGTTTCCCAGGTGGCTCAGTGGTAAAGAATCCACCTGCCAATGCAGAAGACACAGGTTCAATCCCTGGATCAGAAAGGTACCCTGGAGGAGGAAATGGCAACCCACTCCAGTATTCTCGCTGGGATAATCCCATGAACAGGGAAGCCTGGTGGACTATAGTCTGTGGGGTTGCAAAGAATCAGACAGGACTGAGCATGCCCACCCACTCACTCATTTACTTCCCTGAAAGGTTATGTTCTTCTAACTGTGCCTAGGACCTTGCTTCTCATCCCTCTGCCTCTCCCCAGCCATGGAGAGAGGCTGGATCTTTGTATAATGTAGTCCGTCAGATGAATTTCTTGGCCGCCTCTTCTCATTCATTCATTCATTGTTAGGGCAAACCACATGGCAGAGGGCATGAGACTGCAGAAGGAGCGTGGGTTGGGAGAATGCAGCCATGGTTGTAACGAATCTTTGTGCTCCGCAGGCCGTGAATCCCGGCAGGTCCCTGTTCCTGCTGTATGCCCTCAAGAGCTCCCCGCGCCTCGGCCTGCTGTTCCTCTACCTGTTTGACTACACTGACACCTTCCTGCCCTTCATTCACACCATCTGTCCTCTGCAAGAAGACGGCTCCGGGGAGGACATCATATCCAAGCTCCTGGTGGGTCTGCAGAGGGCCTTGAGGGGCGTCACGCCACTGTTGCCCATCATGGAATGGGTGTGGATACGTGGCTGTAGCCTAGCAGGGAAGAGCAAATAGCACAAGTCTTCACTGGAATCTTACAAGGAGAGCCCTTACAAAGAAAATACAGCAGGAACTTCCCCACTCCTAGAAGCCTGTGTTGTTTCCTGCACTGCATAGCAACAGGGGTTACCCTTTAGACTTGAAATATTTAGAGGAAAGGGAAAAAAAAACCCAGCATTGCTTCTGTTATAAAATAAGATAGTATAGTTCCAGATTGCCTGAGGGTCTTCCAGCTTGGTAATGGATTTCTTAACGGGATCTTCTAAATCAGGTTAGTATACGTCCTGTGGGCCTCAGAATAGGATGCCGTCATCCTGCTCACAGATGGAAGTCCTACTGTTAGCTGACCACCAGGCCTTTGGCAGGGCTGGTTACCCACCCCGGCTCTCTTGTATTCCTTCAGAATAGTTGATCACATTGACTCAGGGTGATTCTCTGTGTCACTGGAGGGTAATGCCCTTTACATTGGTACCTTTGGGGGCAGTCCTTCTGATCTGTTTATGTCAAAAGCCATATGGATATAGGAATCATTGTGTATGATATTGAAACAGAATTCCAAAATCTCCAAAGACCTTTTTTAAAACACTTGGATCAAGTGCCTGTCTAACTGACTTCAGCCTTGATGTCCTTTTAAGCCTGCTAATTAATTAGCCCCTTTGCATGGTGTCTCTCTGATCACCCAGTTTCAGCTGCTCTCTGCCCTTGCTGGACTGGGAGCAGCGGAGCCCTGGCCTTGCCACTGTAACAAGCCCTGCCTGTCCCTGTCTCCTCATCAGGCGGCTCTTTTCCTGGGCTGCTCAGTGTCTGCTCACTGCACACAGTCTTGCTCAGCTTCCATGGCCTCTGGATGCCCGAAAGAAAGTGAAAGTGTTAGTCACTCAGTCGTGTCCAACTGTTTGCAACCACATGGACTGCAGCCCGCCAGGCTCCTCTGTCCATGGGATTCTCCAGGCAAGAATACTGGAATGGGTTGCCATTCCCTTCTCCAGGGAATCTTCCTGATCCAGGGCTCAGACCCAGGTCTCCCACATTCCAGGCAGATTCCTTACCAGTCTGAGCCACCAAGAAAGCCCCAAATGCCTATGAGTTGTTTAAAAACTCTTGTTATGAATTACCTGCTAAGGTTGTCATTAAAGTTTTTCATTTTCCCAAAATTACTTTTTAAAGGTACACGTTTAATTTTCCCATGACCTGTGATCACTCCACCACAGGTGAGAGGTTGAATTTGGGAAACTGTGTGAGCTGCTCTTGCAGTCATGAAGACATTTTAAAACTGGTTAATTTTTGTCCATTTCAACCTTCTGATTAACATCTCATGCTTAGATTTTTTTTTTTCTTCTGAGCTTCCACAATCATATAAGAATGTAAGAGGTTCAGTCTCTTTGGTAACATTTATTTAGGGGAAGATGAGTTATTCCAAGGTGAATTGATGGATGGAGGAGATCTCACTTGAGATTGTTGGATGTGTATGTCTGTGTGTGTGTGTGTGTGTGTGTGAATAAATGTAAAATTCTCTGGGCTGACCACAGTATCTTCTGTAAAGGTCAGTCCTCATAATTTTTTGTGTCTGTTTATATGTACCTTTATTTACTCGTGTTTTACTCCTAAAGGATCTTAGAGAGCCCACATGGAAGCAGTGGCGAGAATTCCTCATCAAGTACTCCTTCCTTCCGTACCAACTGATTGCTGAGTTTGCTTGGGACTGGCTGGAGGTCCATTACTGGACATCACGGTTTCTCATCGTCAATGCCATGCTACTCTCAGTTCTGGAATTATTCTCCTTTTGGAGGATCTGGTCAAGAAGTGAGCTGAAGTAAGTGTGTTTTTATCTTGGAGATGGTTGGAGCAACAGAGGCTGGGGAAGAAATTCCAAGGGGAGGAGAAGTCCTCTTGAGTGTTTTTCAGACTCTAGTAGACACCCGGCAGTCTGGTTTAGAAACAGTGCTTAAGCAGCAAACAAGAAAATGACTTGGATGGGGAGGCTTTCATGGTGCTCATTGTTAACGTGTGCCTCTAGGTGCCTTTTCCCCACATAATATACCAGGTAATTCCTGGAGGGTGGGGTATACGTGAAGGAGTTTAATAACTGAGGAATAAACAAGCGAGAAGAGGGTACTTTATGGAAAGTAGTGTGGTAGAACATAAAGAGATCTGAGGAGGAATGCTGTAGGCATTTCTCTGGATTAATGTGTAAAATGAGAAAGTTGGACTAGACAATCGCTGAGTCAGGACTTTTGGTTGCAAGTGACAGAAACCAACCTAGGCTGGCTTTCCTACCAAGGACATGCCGAGGGATGGCTTCCTGCGTGGCTGGACCCAGAGACCCAAACACTGTCCTTAGGGGCAAATGTCTTTCTCCCTCTCACAGCTCTCCTCTGTTCACCTCAAAGGCCCCTGTATTCGGGGGCCCTTGATCCCTCCAGGTAGAGACTTACAGCTTAGGAACCCTAGAGGAAAGAGACACTTCTCTCCCCATAGCAATTGTGAAAGCCTCAGGCTCACAGGCCTTTGGTTTGATTGACCCAGCCTGGGTCACAAGCCCCCTGAACCCGTCACAAGTACAGGGGTTTGTGGGCTTGCCTTGTCCAGACACAAGCATGCACTCACCCCCCCATCGAGGGGCTGGTTTCAGCCCTACACGGGCCACATGGAAGAGAACAGGGGAGGGAGACACCCCAAAGGGAAACTCAGAAGACGCTTCCAGGAGACAGGACGGCTGCTGGGCAGGCAGAAGCAACGTATCAGCACGCCTGCACCCTTTTAGCCTGAAACAGCCCGTGACACGACGGCTTCTTGGCCTCGCCCATCAGGAAATAGTGAGAACCTGACAGGAATCTCCATTATTTATTCAGTTCAGTGACCCCACTTATTCATGCCCAGTTGATTGAACCTCTCCTCTGCCCCTGCTTCTCTGCTGGACACCGCAGATCTGTTGGTCAAGAGGATAGTTTATGCTCTGAAGGCCTACAGCCTCGCAGAGAAAATATCAGGTTAATATTCAATTAAAGGGGCTTCCCTGATGGCTCAGTGGTAAAGATTCTGCCCACCAATGCAGGAGACACTGGTTCCATCCCTGATCTGGGAAGATCCCACACGCCAAGGAGCAGCTGAGCCCGTGGGCCACAACTATTGAGCCTGTGATCTAGACCCCAGGAACCAGAACTCCAGAAGCCCGTGCTCGCCACATCTAGGGAAAAGCCCACGCGGCAACCAAGACCCAGCACCGCCAGAAATAAACAGACACATTAGGATATGTGTGTGTTATATTAAACACATACACGTGTGACTCAGCGAAGAAGCGGGTGGGGTTGGGGCTGTGCTGGGAAGGCCTCACCTGAGGGGACCTGGTGACATTTCCTTGAGGAAGCCTCCTCCAGGCTGCGTCCCCGGAGCTGAAGGCGGCGTGGTCAGGAAAGCTGTGTCTCGGGCACCGCGGGCAGGAAACAGGGTCTCTGCAGCTCCAGCAGCCAGACGCTGCGGCGGCGAAAGGCCCGGGCAGGTCTGAGCGCCCCGGTCTCGCCTCTCACACGCCTCTCTTCCTTTTGCAGGACCGTGCCTCAGAGGATGTGGAGCCATTTCTGGAAAGTGTCGACACAGGGGCTGTTTGTGGCCATGTTCTGGCCCCTCATCCCTCAGTTTGTTTGCAACTGTCTGTTTTACTGGGCCCTGTACTTCAGCCCGATCATTAACATCGATCTCGTGGTCAAGGAGGTCCGACGGCTGGAAACCCAGGTCTTGTGACTGACGCTGCCGAGGTTCCCAGGGGCCCTCGCAGCCTCCCTGCCGGCTGAGCTCTGGGGAGAGGGGGAAGCAGACTTCCTATTTTCCGCCCCTAGTAAACAAGGTGCTGCTTTGCCCGTCAGAGGCCACGGCCAGGCCCCCTCCCTCGGCCCGTGGCAGCAGGGACTGGCGCCCCAGGGCTTGGCCGACATGGCGGCCGCACCTCCAACCCAGCCGCCTTCCTCGCCGGGACTTGGGAGGCTCCCCCCTCGATGGCTGGCAGGGACTCAGGGTCCTCGGAGGACACACAGCAGGTCGCAGTCCCCGCTTGCTGTAACCTCAGTGACTGACAAGAGGCTCCCAGGGCAGGTCGGAGCCCTAAGACAGGAGCCCAGGGCCAGGCCTGTCCTCTCAGTCAAGTATAGGAAAACAGGAGAAGATGCTGTCATAGGCAAGAGGCGGCTGCACATAAAAAATAAGGAGGAAAAACCAGTCTGGTTGATGATTCTGTCTTGTGTAAGAGTTCCTAGAAGGTTCAGAGGTAAACCTCAGAAAGCAGTCAGTTTGAGGTTAGAATGATGGTGGTTAGACTTGCCTCCACCATTTTCTACTTGGAACCATTGACAGTTTGGATCTGTTTGCTGGAGTAGTTGAGTGGGGTGTCAGGCAGTCAGTCATCAGGCTGAGCTGCTTCCGTGCCACGTAAAATTGTCATTTGGGGGGTTCGCTTTAAGAATGTAATCTATAAAATCCAACCCAGTCCATTTGTTTAAGGGAATACCTTGTACATTGACCTCACACTGTATAATCTTTATTGTCCTGCTCTGATGTATAAAACAATGTGTAATTATACCAAGTGCTGTAATTGTAAATATGAGATGAACAATGGCCTGTGATTTCCTGCCAGGGTGACAATAGCAGGTGTGAAAGGCAGTCAATCTGAAGATTGACCCCATATTTATACAGAAATCAGCTTGCATCCAAAGTGTTTTTTTGCAAGTCTATGAACCATTCATTAACCCTTTGTATCTTTGAAGATTTCCCTCAAACTCTGCATCTGAAAGTTTGAAGAAATGAGTTGAAATAAAAATAAAGTTTATATATATACAGATAAAACTTCTACATAGAGAAAAAATGACTGTTTAGGAAACATGAAGAAAATCTATGTTGCCCAGTACAACCTACTGGTCACGCTTACCGCCACCCCCACCCCCCCTGCCCCATCCCCCCCACAGCCGAGGAGCCACTACGGATATATTAAGTGAAAGGGCAGAGAATGTTTTCCTTACCCCTGTGTTTTCTCATCAGGCCCTGGGCCTGCCTGACTTGATCAGCCAGAGACAGTGCCAGCCCAGTGGATCCAGGGACATTGCAGCGTCTACATCTCCCTGGTCTGGTGCCTCACAGGGTTCCTCTCCTCCTTTTTATTTTTTAAAATATGTGTCTGTTCGGCTGCCTCAGGTCTCGGTTGCAGCACGCAGGATCTTTCGTTGCAGTTTGTGGACGCTCTAGTTGTGTGGCCTATGGGTTCAGTAGTTACGGTATGCAGGCTTTGTTGCTCTGTGGCATATGGGATCTTAGTTCCCCAACCAGGGATCAGACCCACGTTGCCTGCTTTGCAAGGTGGACTCTTAACCACTGGGCCATATTTTTAGGTGAAGAAATGGAGGCTGGGTAGCCTTACTGGAGCTGGGGTTCATGTCAGACTCCCTGTCCAGTGCTTCTCACCTGTGCCCCTTGGCCTCCTCACAGACCTCACCTACTCCCCAAATTGTGCTTCAGAGATGAGTAATACACATGCTCTGGGAAGGAGTACCAGGCAGACTTAGCCAAAGCAAACAGGAGAGGCGGGGTGCTCCCTGTTTATCACCTGCAAGAAGAACAGGCATAGCAGAATGAGGGACACCCTCTCAGAGCCGGCCCAGGTGTCTCAAAACGAGTGTCTGTTTAAAATATTCAGACCCTTTAATGCAAGAGTTCCATTTCTGCAAATCTCAGGGAATAATAAAAAGGTGGGAGAGGGTAAAGATTCACAAGCATCCTCGTTACATCAGTAATCTTTCCTATAAGAATAGGAAATACTGCCCATGTCTGAAAGCTAGCAGTCTATAAAATAGTATCTAATAACACTTGGAAATGAAGTCTTCACAGCTTTTTTTTAAAGACACAGAGAAATGAGGAAAAAAGTCATACTGTATGGAGTCTCAATTACATTTTTTTTAAATCGAGTGAGGTTTTTAAAAATGTATTGATTTGGCCACACCATGAAACAGAGTGGATCTTAATTCCCCAATCAGGCATTGAAGCCACGCCCCCTGCAGTGAAAGCACAGAGTCCTAACCACTGGGCTACCAGGGAATTCCCTCTATGACATTTTTAAAACATTGCCAACAAGAGTGAGAAGCAGCACACTAAAATGCTAAATATGGTTATACTGGACTAAGAATTGGAGTGGGTTTTTTTCTTCTTTATTTATTTTCTTTTTTTGTTGTTTTGTTTTTTAGCAATGCTTAGGTACTATTATTCTTCTGTAATCAGGAAATAAATTTTAACTGTTAAAAGAGGAGTGGGATATGGCAAGAAGACTCGAGCTAAAAACTACTAGATTTGAACTTCACAAGTTTGGGCAGCGTGTGGCTGGCTTGTTTATTGCCCAGAATCTAGACACATGGTAGGTGTTTGCTCTCTTTTGACTACCTGCCATCAGGAGTAGGTTAGAAGATAAGGCTTAGCCCTTTTTCACAAAGGCTGAATGTCAAAAGTGGTATCAAACCCAATACAGTCAGAAGTAAACAGGCATGGGACCTTTGACATTAATCAAACTGGAAACCAAACTGGCTCTAGCCCAAGTTCCGGGACAGGGGAGAGAGCAAACACAAGGGTTGCCGCTTTGACGCTTGGCCTCAGCTCCCTTCTGCAAAGAACTGAATGAGGTTGTTGATGAGTAAAAAGGAGTTTTATTCCCTTGTTCAAAAACATGTCAAGTCAGGCTAGTCAGTCACACTTGGGTGAAGAGTTCTTACACAAGAAATGGGGGTAGAAGAGGTACTTAATGTTGTACTTTGCTTGGGCTAAGCAGTAAGCAAACTCCTGGTCACACTTGCACATGAGTTCTTGGCATTTGTCCTCCGTTGGTTCTGGAAGAAGTGGAGAAACTGAAGTTAGAACAGGGATTTGCAGAGACCTGAGGATAATCACAAGGGAAGCTAGTAAAGCTGGGAAGAGGAAGGGTCATAAACTGCATCCGGGTAACACTTTGACAGTTCACCACAGTGATCTCCCTCATCATGACAACTCCCAAGGAAGGTGATATTCAGTCCATTTTACAGAAAACAAAATTGAAGTCACCAGGGTAATGTTTTCAGAGGAGAGGTCCAAAGTCCATACGCCCTTTTATAAAACTCTTCTGCATCAGTATTACACTATTGCATTTGAGGATCCAGTTAGACAAGCAGAGGGTCCCTGGGAACCATCCAGGCTTTTTTTATTTTTTGGATCCCTGCTCTGTGTGACCTTACTGTGAAGTTTCTGAGTGAAGTCCTCATTTAAATGGGGGCACTATCCACTTTGCAGGTTTATTATGAAGCCTGGGTGAGAAAGCGTATATAAAGTGTCAGGCAGGGGCTTGCCCCTAGGCATACACACCATCAATGTTGGTTCCACCTGCAGTTCCCTGCCTTTTCTCTCCAAGTCTCTTTCAGATGCTCCTTCAAGAAAACAGCTTGTTCCCACAGTCAACATAATACTCAGTGGTGAAAAGCTGAATGACTTACCACTGAAATCTGGAACAAGACAAGGATGCCCATTCTCGCCATTTTATTCAGCAAAATATTAGAAGTCCTAGCCACAGCAATTAGATAAGAAAAAGAAATAAAGGGTATCCAAATAGGAAGAGAAGAGGTAAAATTGTCATTATATGCAGATGACATAATACCATATAAAAAGACAGCTTGTTTTAGGTAACAATTTCATATTCCATCTCTCCCTTCCATCTTGGGCCTACTTTATAGAGAGATGCAAAGGCTGTCACCCAAAGATAAATCTCCCTCTACCTTGGGAATTTTGCTGCTACTGAATCATTCCTTTGGGTTGGAAAGATTTTGTGATCTTCAAGTTGTATCTATTAATCTAGAAGATAAAACAGCTCTGGATACATCACCTGCCTTTGACTGTGGGTTTTTAATTATTCACAATATGGGCGGTGGAGCTGCGGGTGTGTGTGTGTGTGGGGGGGGACACCCACTATTAAAGCCTTCCAAATTTCTTCCAGAGGTACAGTAAAGCATGAGTTTGGAGGTAGCCAGCTCAGCCATGGATATAGTTCCTTTGGACACATCACTGCATCCTTCCCAGGCTGTTTCCACAGGGGCCACATGAGGGTACTACAAGTACCTACTTCTAAGGGCTGTTGGGAGAATGAAAGGAGACAAAGTCAGTAAACTGTAGGGCATACAGCAGGTGCTTATGAACTGCAGCTGACCTCCTTAAGCTGCCAACTAATCTTAAAGATTCCCTCTTAAAATGCACAAGTTCCTTAGAGATCCTAGCAAGGGGAAGCATGAGAGAAAATTCAGCTTCTGTCTCAGGGTGATGAGCACCTGGAGTGATGGACAGGGGCAGGGCTGGCGGATGTCAGGCAGGAGGCAGGGAGCCTGAGGCCCTCTGACCCTGTAATGAACTGAGTTGGTTAAAGGTGAGAAAAAAAAAAAAAAAGGTGTTTATCAGCATGACCGCACACAGGGTTTCCCAAACTCAGGCCCATGGCAGCTTCAAGACGATAGCTTTATGTGTGCTCAGTCTATCAGTCTTGTCTGACCCTTTTGTGACCCCATGGACTGTAGCCCGCCAGGCTCCTCTATCCATGAGACTTTCTATGCAAGAACACTGGAGTGAGTTGCCATTTCCTTCTCCAGGGGATCTTCCCGACCCAAAGTTAATATTCATGTCTCTTGCATTGCAGGCAGATTCTTTACCACTGAGACACCAGGGATATCTTTAAATCCCCTTTATTTTTAATAGTAAATCAATTATTAAACTATGATTTAATTACATTAAATAGTATTAAATTGTATTAAATCATCACTGACATAAATGGAAAATCAAAATCTTATGCCACAAATATACAAAACTGACTTTAAAAAAAGCCAGTGAAGATAAAGTTGTAATATCAAAGTCTAGTTAAATGCTGTTACCCACCTGAAGGCTATGAGCCCCCAGAATGGAGGCTCATGGTTTTAAAAAAAGGAAGATTAGCAAGTGTAAGACCCTCTCCGGCAGTCAGATTATCATGCAATTGACACTTCCTCCTTGCCTAACTGGAAAAATTAACAAAGGACTGAAAGGGAAAAATCCTTCTCACTTAAATTCATTTATTAAGCTTCTCACACTCTGGGAAACTATTGAGAGAGAAGGCAAAACAGAAACACCCCCAGCTCCAAGAGCCTTTGTTTAAACACTCTGCCTTGGGGGTCCCCTGGTGGTCCAGGGGTTAGGACTCCAAACTTTCACTGCCAAGAGCACAGATTGGATCCCTGGTCAGGGAACTAATATCCCAAGCCATGCTGTGTGGCCAAAAAAAA